AAAATTATTTTAGCAAATCACGTTCAAAATTTCAAAAACCTTAACATAAACTCTCATTTTCCTGACATTTGACGCTTGTTTGTTACTACTGAAAGAATCGCCAGTATCATTTGCTTGTTATTCTAATTGCCTCTTTTTCTCTTCTCTTCTTGTAAGTCTCAGATTCTAATTTAAGTCTTTTGTCGCTGTTCTTTCTTTTATTTGTTGTTTATATAATTGTAAATTGTGGTTTGGATAAAAAAAAAAAATGTGTGCCTAAATGATTAATGAACTTTTGTATGATTTGGAAAGAACGAGGGACGAATGATATTGATTGTGTGAAAATGTTAAAGTTTCCTAACTAGTATTATTACCTTCTACTTTCATAAAAGTAGTTAGAAACTGAAATTTGCCCAATAAGACGAAACTTTATCAATCTTTGCATGTCTGAATGTATCCCATTCAATCTTTATTTAACATCTCACTAGCTGGGCAAAATGAGTTTTAATTAAACTATAAAAGCAGAATGTAACTTTATCTTTATCAACTGCTATATGACAATATGAATGTTAAACAAGAAAATGTAAATAAAAATGAAGAAAAATGTATCTTTTAACAATAAACTTGAAAATAATTTATTCCTGAATTTCAAGGTAAATATGAATTCAATTTAACATTATTAGTTATTGTTTAAACTTATATGTTAATTCATATAAAATATATTACTATAATAGTGATATGCAAACCGCAGATTAAAACCAAACCAAATCGCAAATTATGGTTTGATTTGGCTCGAAAAATAAAATGGTTTGACTTGATTTGGTTTGGAAAAATCTTTAACCGCATAAAATGATTTGAATTGAAATTATAGCACAGACTGCCCAAACCGAACTACGTTCACCCCTACACCACACCACTAAATGACTCGAACCAAAGTCTTGAATATACAAATATTTTAGCTTTCTCCATAAATACAGACCCTCTTCAACAACATTTTCAAATTTAAAAAAAAAAATAATAATAATAATAATTGACCAAGAGAGCATCAGAAGACCCATAATTTCCAGATTGTAACACATAGACAGCATTAAAATATCGCTTTCTCAAACGCTCAAGCCAGCATCAGAGCCTTTGCGGCATTCAGAGAGCATATCCAAATAGAATTGACACTTGCTGATATCGCTTGCCTGATAGTTTAGGCACTGCAGCATTACAATACAAGCAATTAAACTAAAATACCGACAATGGAAAGTGTGTGTGATATCATCACAAGGACGGTCATATTTTGAACTAAAAAATTCTATGTGATTTAATCTATCTACATAAAAATATATCAATTTGATCATCTCATCTCTTTATGAAGAGTAACGAGAGATAAAGATGAATGGGAATATGAGAAACGAAATTAACAAAGTTACTCAGTCCCTCCTACCAATTTCTCATCATTGTAATAACAAAACCCGGAATATGTGAGACTAAATTAAAAGGAAATATCAAACAGTTCCCAATCTAAGTCCACCCTCACATCACAAGATAAAATTACTGGAACCTAAAATAATTGAGCCATCACCACCATGCAAAAACATATGCTATGAAAGTGTGTGAAATGACCACGTATAATCCACCAGAAATGCAAGAAAAACCGTCAGGTTAAGAAGAAACATACATCTTGGAAGGCCTTAGATTGAACACCACATGCGTCAGAGCCTCCAGCGGTGTTCATTGTCGTGGCCTCAGCAGCAGCAGCAGGAGCAGAGGAAGCCGCTGACTCATGTCTTATGGTCCGAGGCCCTAATATAGAGTCTACTGCCCGATGGGCAATTGCGCTTCCACCACCAAAAGCCATACCTATCCATTAACAACAAGAATAGGTGTCAACTTTCAGAGTTCGGATATCAAGCATAATATGTTATCGGTGCGGTCAATAATCCAAATTGAAACATGTCACTGACTGAAACATGTCACTAACCTTCAGCAACGACTGAACCAAGTCCTCCACCCACAGTTGTGCTCTTTAGTGGAGCTGCGGGTGGAGCTGGGGCTTGAACTGGAGCTGCAATATAAGAATGCATCAATTGGCTATAGATTCACAAGAGTAACATGTATCTTAAACTTCGAATCATCGAGGAAGAAAAAAAATTTAAAATTGGACTCGAAATTCACAGATCCCCAATCCCAAGAACATAAAAACAGAACTATTGAAATGCGATTTACATATTCATCATAGTTCACATATATCTTAGCAATGCTGAGACAGGCAACTAGAATGTATTACTAGACGATAATTATTAGACCTGACTCGACTGTAGACCTGGCTATAGTTCTGATGACCCAGGGGGAGTATACCCAAATTAAAATTAAAAATACTATAGAACATTAAAATGATGTACAATATATGTCCAAGTTAAAAAACTGAGGCATCATAAGTTAAATATGTTTTGATTAAATTAACAGTATAATGGGAAATATAAATTGATATTTGTCTTTTTCCAAAATATAGCAATGTATTAAATAGTTTATGCTTCACTGTAACATCTGATTTTCTGTTGGATAGAAATTTAACTGTTGATCCATTCAAGCCCTCACACGGGCTAGTGGAAAATGCCTCATTTTCATATTACAGGTCTCCAGTTGAAAATCCCATTGTCCATTATACCTGTAAATTTTTTTTCCCAATACCAAAAAATCTATTCACTCAGAAAAGCCAGCCCAATTTAACTGGCTAGCCCAGATTTTCTTTGGTACAGGTCATCAATACCAATCGGACCTGTTTGTAGGGACGGTTTGCCTGTTTACCCATCCGATCGACTGGTCTAGTCCAGGTTTTATTACTATGCTGTACTAGACAGACGACGTAAGAATGTGCAATTCGCTCAAATTTTACCTGGCCTAGGATTGGTAGCAGCTGGATGAGGAGCTGACCATGCCCTACCTGCAGAATCACAGGAATATTATATTAGACTTCTGATACAAATAAGAAAACAGAGAGAAAATTCAAAGTCGTGCATGGGAAAATATTAAGAAGCACAAAACTAAATATGAACCCAAATGAAGACAATCCCGGTCACGCTTGTAAAAATGGGACTATTATTAGTCTCTAGACATTCTTGAGACAAAACATACCTATAATCACAAGCTAACTGCAAGTGAAATGGATTTAGCCATTTGTACATTCTTGAATTACATCATTGTTGACATTCTCTTTGTTTTTCAAAAAATGTATGGGCAGAAAAACTGTATTTATTTTTTATAAAGTTGGGAATGGTCAAACTTGGTGTAAATCAAAGTGTACACCAAACATGATTGAAGTAAAAATGAGACTTCCATCACAGTTGAAAATCAACTCATCAGAAATTTGTTTGAATTAGTTAAACAGAGTTTTGCAGCTATTCAATTGTCAAATCTTCGCTTCTCTAGTTTTTACGTACATAATAAATTTTAAAATTTGTTAACATGTAATCATATAACTGAAAAGGCATGAAAAGATAGAAAAATATCGTCAAAAAACCCATAGCATATCGTCATCCTCTGTAAAGCTTCAAGCTTTAATTCTCAAATCCATTTATAACTAACTAAACATTCATCTCGTCAAAAAAATTCACGCTCTGACAATCGAACCAAAACTCGATAATCAAAATTTCTCAAAGGTTAAAAATCCATGTAATTCAACACGCATCGTCTTTATATTCAACCCTATTTACAGATCTAACAATATACATCATAAAGAAGAACAAAAAATGATACACAAACAAGTATTCTGCATTCACATGCATAAATAACTAAAAAGACGTAAATCACGAAGGGAATACGGACCTCCAGAACGGCCACTGCTTCGGCGAGGCATGATTTCTTCGTGAGATGGATGAAGACTTAGATGGCAGAGAAAACAGAACTTGAGCGACAAAACAAAAGTTGTAAGAAGAAATGGATGAATTGGAGGAGCAGATGCGGTCGTATTTATATACATAGTGCGGGTCGGTGTGTAACTTGGGGAATAAGATAGCCTATTCGATTTGATTTGCACAATTTCTCGAAGATTCGAGAATATGGGAAATTCAAAATAGGACCCCACAAACTTTGGATTCTTACAAAAAAGCCCCCAAAATTTTAGATTTTGACATTCAGTTCCTTTTCCCCACTTTCCCCTTTTAAAGTAATTACCCCTCGATTACAACCGCCACATGCTAGAATGTTGTATAGTAATTTTTAAGAATTCATCTTAATAAATTTAATTTATTGATGGAATTTCTGTCGTTAAAAAATAAAAATAAACAGTAGCTACCGAGGAGTCTAAAAAAATAAGAAATTAATGTTGATCAAGATTTAGATTCTAATTTAAATCAAAGTCAACAATTAATTTTAACCATATATTTATAGAGTCTACAACTTTTCAATTAAACATTTCATCAATTTTTATCAAAATTTATTAAAAATCTAATTTTAATCCATATTAAACAGAGCTAAGATTAATGTCGTTGGTAGTAATTTAAAAAACTATTTTAATAAATTTAATATAGCCGTAGGATATTCATTTAATGCAATAAGAAGTTAAGTGCTTTCCGAATCCAGATGGGATCCAATACGTCAAAAGATCCCATCTCACTCTTTTTAGCGTGCAAGTTAAATGTGCATTCAGGATGCATGAGTTGGAAGTGCAAGATCGAAACCTCTCCAAGCAGAAAGATGGGAAGGTTATGATTTTACATGCTCTCAAGTATAAATCAAAAGGGCAAAAAAGTATTGACTGCACACAAGGAGACATTTTTTTATTTCTAGAGTGAGAATACAAAACTCTAAATCACTTTCAAATATCACCGAGTGTTGAGTATTTATAGGTAAATGATTCAACTTGAAGTGTCTTCAAAGCTCAACTCCCAATGACTCACATGTTGAGTCTCAAGATGTCACATAAGCCTACGATATCCGACACATTATCCTAAGTGCAAAAGAGGGAATTTGACTTTCAGTTTCCTTACAGTAATATCACATCAATCACCTTATACGTTCCAAGAGTAAGGTTGTAACTATCATACATGCTATGATTGGGTTGCTTATTATCTTGGATAAAAGACACGACAAATCAGCATAGAATTATTGTTGTCTTAAGGTTACCATCTGCAAGGCGATGGTGGTACTCTCAATGCCTCGAAATATAACAATTAAAGATACAATATGATGTGTCTTCATGTCTTTGGAATAAGGTAACAGTGAAGGCAACATGCTTCAACTTAAGTTTCTCATAAATTGTGTATATGACATGTTGGGAAATTATTCACCACCAGGGTTGGAGAAGAAATAATATAGAAAACTAATCAAGAAAATGGATATAATCAAGAACAACAAACCGAACAATGCACAAAATAATAATCAAGAAGATGAAATGAAGAAGATGAAGAACACAACGAATATGAAGGCTCGAACGCGTAATTGCTGTCCTCAAACGATATTTGCTTCCTCTTGGTATTAATTTTGGTGCTTAAAGGGTCTCGCAGCAAACGATTTGAAGGATTGATCAAGCCTTGATGTGGAGAAACACAAAAGCACAAACATTTCTCCACCCGAACTTCAGGAACACAGGAGGAATTCTATGAATATGAAGAAAGAAAGTTTTGATTCTTTGATTGTGGAATGTAAAATGGATCTCAATGTCTTCCATATGTTTTTCATGTTTTTGTTATGTTGTTTCAATGTCTATTTATCACATATTTATAGCCATGAAACATTGGCACACGAAATGGTGCCAAAATGAAATGAAAAGCCGCCAAAATCATAACCGAAAAACTGCCCAACGGCTATATTCCTTCTTCTATGCGGTCGCATAGAAGGATCCTATGCGACCGCATAGGTTTATATTTTGGCCTCCGTTTTTTCACTTCATTCCATCTTTATTTCATTCCACACACCGGTTCTTATTATTGTTGAACAAATATACAACAATCCCCCACTTGTTCAACACTTAATAAGATCTCATATTTAAAGTATACGATACTCATACATAAGGATTAGATATCTTTCGATTTGAATCTAACCATAGTATAATTCAAACAAAGTAAAATCGGAATCAAAGGTAGCCGTAGCTTTGAACTAGTTATTCCATGTGACAATACCGGTCCGAACACACACACAAGTACCACGTGTTCTCAAGTTCCTCATAATTCGCTTAGCGCTTTTATGGCCTTGCGCTCATCCTTTTCGACAAATTTTTAAGAGAGAAACTCCAACTCTCTATTGATGCGGCACCACCTCGAAGTTAGTCTAGGTGAGGTTCTTCCAGTACCTTTGTTACTTTTAGAGGTACTTGTGTTTTACACTGAACTTCATTAAGAGCTTTTAATGCTCAACCCTCACTTCAGTAACAACCAGCATTATTTTACTTAGGATAGAGTTATCGCGGATTTGAATAATGCTGCAACTATCCACATATCGAATGACTTGTTATTACCCTTTGAACCCGTGAATTACCTTTTGAGTAATGACAGGTAGGGTTGTCGTCATTGGTGGACCTTGTCTAATTAAAGGATCCGCTAAATTCTTGTGACGTCATCTCTAAGACTTATATGTCTTTTACTTCTCATTTTATGTGACTTAGTATCTTATCAAAATATAGCTAGCCAACGATCGATTTATTTGATAGATACAACTTGTCACCACCAAGAATTCATTTTATGAAGTTACAAGCTTCTCCCAAACTTTTTTTTAAAACTTCATTGATTTTCTAACACGATCGGATGATTTAACTCATTACACTTGTCAATCACTTTAATTTGTGGATTTCATACTTGGGTATTCACTTGTCATCATTGAATCATTTCAATGATCTTCAATGAATATTCTTTAAATATTCCATTGGTTTTGCAAGTGCCACAATCGGCCTTTACCCTTTTAATCCACTTAAGACTTAGCGTGTTTCATCCATACAAGGCCTTCTCTACCTTTCTCCATCATAGATGTATTTCTATGATTAAAAGTAAAGGATATAGTAACTTTTAAATTAAGTTACCCCCACAATTCCTTAATTAGGAATTTTTATGCAATCTCGTAATGTTGCATCGATATATTTTTGAATTTCTCATATAAATTCATAATATTAATGCTAACCCCCACATTTCGGGTTATTCTCGAACTTAGAGTTTCTTAACATGTCAACCCCCACATTCGGGATTAAACTTGAACTTAGAGTTTATTAACTCTTCTGTAGTTCAATTTCTTATCACTTCAATAATGATCGTGAAATCTACATACTTTCAGATAATTATCATTAATTCACAATGTACTTCAATCCACTATTTAATTTTGATCACACAATTTGATCAAGGTCATCTCATATACCTACCATGCTTTTCAAGCATAAACCAACTCAATTGGTTCCTCGAATCAAATGTGCTTCTTGTTTAACAAGAATTGCACTTTGTCATTTCTATAAGATTATATCATATCAAACAATATGGCATATGTTCAAATAATTCACATTTGGACAAAATCATATTTTGTCACATTTATATGCAAACACGATTTTTCATAATATTATCTCATTTAATTTTGTGGCTATCAACATTTCAATAGAACATGAAATCAACCATCAAGTTTATCAAGTGATTCTTGTATTCCAATGGAATAAGTAGTCATGAAATTTCATGAGCTTTTAACATATAGTAGGAATCCTTCCACATTTATGGACATCCTTTAGACCCATTAAATATTAATAGGTTGGTCTCAAAACACAATTATGGATGTGCTTTGTTAGCACTTCAAAGTCCATAAACCAACATAATGGCAAATGCATCTTGCAACAAAATGTGATAACCCACGTATTGGAATTATTCATCGAATAGCAACCATAGCCAAATAATTTTCTAGCCACCATAATTGGTATAATTTGCATTCTTAAAGTGTCATGCATATGAGCCATACCCAATTGTCATAGTAAAGTGAGAATAATCAATTAATCAAAATTGATTTCCACAATATCCTTTATACATGAATGTCATTTAGAGCACATTATAAATTTTATCATACTAATATGCAAAACATAATTTGTGCTCTACAAAAATATTTCCATTTCTCAATAAATGCGCAAGCAATTTCTGCTCTTAAAACTAGAACAAATCACAATTTGTCATACTTTATGCAAATATAATTGGCATAAAGTCATCTTACCTAATTGAGAGTTTCATCATAGATTTCCACCAAAAGGTCTATCCAAAATTCAAACCTTTGTATAGATTCATTAAATGAATACACTAATCCGATTCACATGATTTTAGACTTACAAAGAGACACCACCAACGTGCCTATTTATCATGAATGAAATTTCCTTGCAGACCATTTCTATCGTGGATTAGTGTTTGTCAATTCCACACATTAGTATATGCAAATTCTGGAAATGACATAATAAGGACAATCACATGCAATCTGACATTTTCCTTCCTTAAGTGAAGAATATGATCCAATTCTTCTCCAACCGGAAAACATAGATTTCATCATGCATATGCATTTGATCATCATCATCAATTTACCACGTACTGGATTTATCATTTTGGAAATGCCATGCAATACTCCAATCCCGATTTTTAAGAAAATATTGGAGACAAATCATGCTATGGTATCAAGAAATACACATCTGATGTGCCTAACTTGAAATGGAAGCAGTATTTTACTTCATTTACATTTAAGGCAACATGTCACTTTTATGCAATTATTCTGTCAGATATACAACGTGCAGACTTCATACAAATATGCAATAGGCAATATAGAGTAATTATTAATTCTGCACATGTAAATTCTCAGAATAGCACAATTTATTTACATAAATTTTCGTAAAGACGGTGCAAAATTAATGGTTCCTTTCCACCGTCAACGGTTACCGGAAGTCCGGAACCACCATATAATTTTAATTGTCGACACCGTTTCAAGTTTCAATAGATCGAAGATGCAACATAAGTTATATTTTATTCTTACAAATTCTGGAACTTACAACCGAAAGGCACATGCCTAAGGAATTAATTATTGAACAGTCACCATGCCAAATGGATTCCTTTGCCACCATAATTGTTTAAGGTTGCATTTAAAATTAAGTCATTAATTTAAGAACATGTGCACTGATCTTTAAGAGACACATTAATGGTAGCCATGCATTATCTGCCGATCGCCGCCTATTTAATAATATTTCATTATCTCCATTTGCGGCGAATCAAACAAGTATTGAACAGCAAGCATTTTTTTTAACATAAAGGAACGCGATGGTTGGCATCTCAGTCCAAAGGAAAATGACAGATAATTTTCAACAGGTTCATGCCATTTCAGATTTTAAGAAACCGCCTTAATGCTATTCCAGATTGGCATATGAATCTCAAATTCAGAACACATATAATGCCAGACAAGGACGACAATTAATCCTTCACAATTAACACCGACGTTGTGCACACAATATATTCACATACCGCATGTATGCATAAAATAGAAACACAATTTGACTTACTGAATTTGGAGAGCAATTTCGACTTACACAAAATCTGGATTCAAGTTCTCCTACAAGTCGAGCCATCAAATAGTCCCCACAAACAATATCTCAATCCATCAACTTGATTGTCCCAAAGTGGTTTCATTCTCCATCGCCAAAATATCGTTTGAGATTGTTGGGAAATTATTCACCACCAGGGTTGGAGAAGAAATAATATAGAAAACTAATCAAGAAGATGGATATAATCAAGAACAACAAACCGAACAATGCACAAAATAATAATCAAGAAGATGAAATGAAGAAGATGAAGAACACAACGAATATGAAGGCTCGAACGCGTAATCGCTGTCCTCAAACGATATTTGCCCCCTCTTGGTATTAATTTTGGTGCTTAAAGGGTCTCGCGGCAAACGATTTGAAGGATTGATCAAGCCTTGATGTGGAGAAACACAAAAGCACAAGCATTTCTCCACCCGAACTTCAGGAACACAGGAAGAATTCTATGAATATGAAGAAAGAAAGTTTTGATTCTTTGATTGTGGAATGTAATATGGATCTCAATGTCTTCCATATGTTTTTCATGTTTTTGTTATGTTGTTTCAATGTCTATTTATCACATATTTATAGCCATGAAACATTGGCACACGAAATGGTGCCAAAATGAAATGAAAAGCCGCCAAAATCATAACCGAAAAACTGCCCAACGGCTATATTCCTTCTTCTATGCGGTCGCATAGAAGGATCCTATGCGACCGCATAGGTTTCACAAAGGCAGGGCCGTTAGGCCCTGTAGGTGTCTATGCGGTCGCATAGAAGGATCCTATGCGACCGCATAGGTTTATATTTTGGCCTCCGTTTTTTCACTTCATTCCATCTTTATTTCATTCCACACACCGGTTCTTATTATTGTTGAACAAATATACAACATGACATTTTGCTCAATTGGTGGTCGCGTAATTTGCCACGTAGGCCGAGGCTTAATAATTAGGCATCGTAGAAAAAACTATGAATTAGTTCGTGTTTGGTACATACTCCCTTCATTTCATAAAAATATGCTTACTTTTTTTTTTTTGTATGTCCCGAATTATATATCATGAATTATATGTCATTTTTCATATTGAATAATTGATTTCTTAATTTTCTAATATATTCATTGTCTTGTTATTAATTGAAAAATATTTTTTAAAATTCATTTTAAACTATATGTTTCTTCAGTAAAATAATTTTATATATAGACTCATAGTTCTTTTATACTTTTTAATTATGCATTTTTAATTAAATCCATTTTCACAAAATTTATTCTTAAAAAATCTAAATCAAACTATTTTTTTGGTGATTCTCCAAGTCCTAAAAATAAAAGAGTAATGATATTTAGTTCCAATACAATTACAATTTAAGTCTAAGTGACGTTAATGTAATATTTAATAATAGGTGAATTTATAATCATTTAATCTACATTTACTCAAAATAAAAATATCAACATTGCAGCTGAGTCGTTAAAGTCATGCAATGAGGTTGGTGTCCTTGATTTATGACTTCAATGGCGGTCTATAATAGTACTGCCATTTCCACACTTTCCTTTTCATCTGCAATGGAGTTTTTAGGTGCATCAATTTCTTCCTCTGCTCCCAAATTCTATTCTTCACTTCGCACTCAATCAATTACCAGTGGATCAACATAAATCTCGCCCAAAACCCCTCTTAAGCTCTATCTTTTCGCAAATTTCCCTAGAAAACAGCACAAGACTTACAGCGGAAAGATTAGTGGAGTTCGTCTTCAGCATTTACGGCTGTCTACGATTCTGGTATTGGGCAATCATGATCATGCACCTGATGAACCTCCACCTTCTAATTCAAACGGGAATAAGAAGCTAATTGTTATTGCTTGTTCTACAGTTACTGTAGCGCTAGCCATTGCGAATCGCGTGCTTTATAAACTTGCCCTAGTTCCCTTGAAGGAGTACCCGTTCTTTCTAGCTCAACTAACCACTTTTGGGTATGTTCTGTGAAAAACTTTGATTTTGTTGATTTATTAGATTTTACATAATTGTGTTCACTTAGCCATTGTCTTTTCATTTTGGCTCCATTTTGGCGCCTATTTATATCTTGTACAGTCACGGCATTTGCATGAAATAAGATTCCAGAATTTTCCCTCACATTCTAATATGGTATCAGAGCAAACCCTCCCTGTGCTCACCCTTCGTTCATCCCCCTTCCTGTTCGTTATTTCTCTTTGCAATGGAGTCAGCACAATCTGATTAAACATCTGAATCACGTTCATCCACGAGCAAATCAGCCATTGATGAACCGTCAAGTCCGTATTTTCTGCATCATTCGGACAGTCCAGGCTTTTACTGGTTTCTCAGCCACTTACAGGATGTAGTCATGCCATGATGATCGCCCCTTCGGTGAAGAACAAACTGCCATTCATTGATGGATCATTGAAGAAATCGGAGGATACGAATCCTGACTTGATTATTTCGTATAACAACATGGTGATGTCGTGGATCCTCAACTCAATTTCGAAGGACATTTCAGCAAGTGTTATATATGCATCCACTGCTCACGAGATCTGGAATGACCTGAAGGAGAGATTTTAGCAGAGCAATGGGTCAAGGATCTTCCAATTGAAGAAAGATCTGATGAATTTGACTCAAGATCAAAACAATGTAAGCATTTACTTCACCAAACTGAAGACTGTATGGGAAGAGTTGAGCTATTTTCGACCAAAGGAAAGTGCACATGTGGCGGTGTAAAGAAATTGAATGAATACTATCAGATGGAGCACATCACGTCCTTCCTTATGGGGCTGGATGACACCTTCTCTCAGGCTCGTGGTTAGATCCTTCTCATGGATCCCATACCACCGATCAATAAGGTATTTGCACTGATTTCACAGGAGGAAAATCAGAAAAGGCTGAATACACAATCCAATGGGAATGATGCATATGGTGCTGTTGCATTTGCCTTAAAATCTGACAATGTAAGGGCAGTATCTAATCATAGAATTGGTGCCCATGGAAATCTCAAGAAGAAGGAGAGGCCTTATTGCACTCATTGCAAATTCCATGGACATTCGATGGACAAGTGTTACAAAATCCATGGGTATCCACCAGGATACAAGCCAAGGCCGAAGGACAATTTCCAAGGCTACTCCACCTCCAATCCAGTGAATCAGATTTCACTTAACACTCAGATGAATCAGCATTCTGGTATGGAGAGTTTTATGCAAAATCTGAATCCTGAGCAGTATCAACAGCTAATGAGTGTGCTATCCAACAATCTGACTTCAAGCTCCATTGTTACTGCAACTGATCATGATAAGCACACCACCTCATGTGCTGCCTCAGGTACATGTCATTCTATGTCAATGACTCCCATCTTTACTGATAAAAGCATTTGGATTGTTGATTCGGGGGCTACTAAACATGTTTGTTCTATTGCTGATGCGTTTTTTATCTTAAGACCAATCAATGATGCAAGTATTATTTTGCCAAACCACACACGTATATTGGTGATGTCAGGTTGAGCAATGCTTTGGTGCTGCGTGATGTCTTAACTGTTGAATCTCAGCTCATCCTGAATTTCTTTCCTGATTACTTCATTATTCAGGAAGCTTCAACCAAGAAGACGATTGGCAAGGGTGATAAACTTCAAGAGTTATACGTATTTGACACTAGAAATCTTAACTCCTTTTCACATGTTTTTGTTGGTAATGTGTCTGCACACATATGGCACAATCGTCTTGCTCATTTGTCTTTCAAACGATTAGATATCTTGAAAAATCAAGTAGCTTGTGATATGTCAAAATTGAATAAACATCTTCCATGTTATGTGTGTCCCATTGCTAAGCAAACAAGATAATCTTTTGAATCCAATAACAGACTTTCTAGCAAGCCATTTGATTTGTTGCATTGTGATACATGGCGGGCCATACCATATTCAATCACCCTCGGGATATAAATATTTTTTGACTCTAGTTGATGATTGTTCAAGATTTACTTGGATATGTTTACTACGCCAGAAATATGATGCTAAAAATGCTATATATCGATTCTTTAATATGTTCACCACTCAATTCAATGCCAAAATAAAAGGCTTTAGATTAGATAATGCATATGAGATGTCCTTTACTGATTTTTTTGCTGAAAAGGGGGTTTTACATCAATTTAGTTGTGTGGAGAGACCACAGCAAAACTCGGTTGTAGAACGAAAGCATCAACATTTGCTGAATGTGGCTCGTTCTCTGTTTTTCCAATCCAGAATTCCTGTCTCTTTTTGGTCTGAATGTGTGTTGACAGCGGCATATCTCATCAACAGAACTCCAGCCCCCATCTTATAGCATAAAACACCGTATGAGGTTCTATATGGCAGTCCAGCTACTTATTCTCATCTTCGAGTATTTGGCTGTCTAAGTTTTGCCTCCACATTAGCTGCTCACAGAGATAAATTCCAACCTCGAGCTAGGCTGTGTGTATAAATAGGCTATCCAGCTGGTGTTAAGGGATATAAACTTCTTGATGTAGTATCAAAACAAATCTTAATCTCGAGAGATGTTTTTCACGAAGAGATCTTCCCTTTTCACACCGTTGTAGAGGCTGATCAAATACTTGATCCATTCCCCGATCTAGTCCTATTTTCACTTGCAATATCTTCCCCAGTTGACAACATCAGTTCCCAGCTGCAGAGTGTTCTCAATGACGCTAATACACATACTGCTCCTGATTCTTCTGAAGCACTCCTTGAGCCCCCTTTGCCTACCCTCTCACCAGCTACAGCCACATGTCATGATCTTAGGAAATCCACAAGAATGTCCAAACCTCCCAAATACCTTCTTCACTACCATTGCAATTTGATGTCACATTGTGCTCAGCCTACTCATCTCCCACCACTTCACATTGGCTGTTTCCTTTCATATGATCATTTGTGTGATCCTCACAAAAATCTGATCCTTAACATCATACCTCACCTTGAACCTCAATATTTTCATTAGACTGTCAAGTTCCCTCATTGGCGTGATGCCATGAAGCTTGAATTGGAGGCTTTAGAAACCAATCATACCTGGCCCCTTGTACCCCTACCACTTGGGAAACACAGTGTTGGATGCCGGTGGATTTATAAGAGCAAGTTTAAATCAGATGCTTCCCTTGAAAGACACAAGGTACGCCTCGTTGCAAAAGGCTATACACAACAAAAGGGGTTGGATTACTTTAACTCTTTTTCACCAGTGGCCAAGAGTGTTACTGTTAAAGTTATTCTGGCTCTTGCAGCTCAATATAGATGGCACTTGGCTCAGCTAGACATCAATAATGCCTTATTGAATGGTGATTTGTTTGAAGAAGTATACATGGACCTTTCCTTGGGTTATGATCTCCTCAGGCCACACAATCATGGGGAGAAATTGGTTTGTAAGCTTCACAAGTCCTTGGATGGACTTAAACAAGCTTCTTGACAGTGGAACTCTAAATTCACCCATGCGCTTGTAAGACATGGTTTCCATCAGTCTAAAGTTGATTATTCTCTCTTTACTAGAGGGTTAGGAGACAGCTTTGTGGCTGCCTTGTATATGTGGATGACATCGTGTTAACAGGGCCTAACTTACAAGTTCTTGAATCAGTCAAAGCCTTTCTTACAATCCCAGTTCAAGCTTAAAGATCAGGAATGTCTGAAATATTTCCTGGGTATTGAGATTGCCTGTTCCTCTTCAGGGATTGTCATTTCCTAGAGGCAATATACCTTGCAGTTGCTTGAAGAAGCAGGATACTTGGACTGCAAGCCAGCGAACGGCAAGCCTTAGCATCCATGATGGTGATCTCCTTCCAAATGCTTCCCATTATAGAAGACTAATTGGTAAGCTTATTTACCTGACCTTATCTAGGCCTGATATTGCATTTGCGGTACATAAATTGAGTCAATTTATGTCCAAACTAAGGCTGCCGCATCTCAAAGTTGTCTGCCATCTCCTGCGGTGCTTGAAAGGTAGTCCTGGACCAGGTCTTCTCTTTCCATCTCAAAAATCTCGTGGCTCATCCTTCAACATTTGAACCTTCTCTGATGTTGATTGGGGGTCGTGTGTTGACACTTGTAAATCAACTATTGGTTTTTGTATCTTTGTTGGAGACTCTATGGTCTCTTGGAAATCTAAGAGGCAGCCAACCATTTCTCGATCTTCAGCTGAAGCGGAATACAGGGCTCTGGCATCCACTATCAGTGAGCTTCTTTGGATTACACAGCTTTTAAAAGATCTCCATGCCCCGGTCGCAACTCCTGTAATTCTTTATTGTGATAATCATATTGCCATCCAAATTGCAACCAATCCCATTTTTTACGAGCGTACCACACGCATTGAAACTGACTCTCTTTTTGTTCGTGACAAAGTCTCAGCTGGGGTGGTCAAACTTCTCCCTAATAGATCCAAACATCAACTTGTAGACATATTCACCAGGCTCGGCATAAGTACCTATATAGGACTTTGAGAGTAGGATATCACTACATTGGAAGTATGAGGTGCCACACACAGAAGTGTAGGGTAGTACAGTCAGCCTGAGCCCGTGACTTATTCCCCACAAATCCACTAAAAGTAATGGACTTTCAATGATTGTCTCCTATGATGATCACTTTCCATAACAGTTGCATTCCAAGTCAAATGAACAAGGCCTTGTATTCTTTTGTGGTTTACTACTAGAACTAAACCATGTTCTTTTTTTCTTTATATAATCAAGTATGCACACTGTCTTAGTAGCTAGTCTTACAAGATTTCTTTTAAGACACAGGGACTTCTAATAAGGATTATTAATGGAATCTTACGAATGGTGTTTTTTTATGATACCCAGGTACTTAGCCATATATTTTTCTGTGCTCCATATGAGATACTGTTCTGTCATCGCAACTGATGAGATGCTGGCCCTCCCCAAATCACCATTTATAATCATTGGGTTTTCAGAAGCTCTTGGAGTTGTTTCTGGGATGTATTCAGGAGGTATCATCTATTATACTTTCAGGCATTCGAACCTGACCAATATAATTAAAATGAGATTGCAAAGCTAAATCAGAAATCATGTCCATTTGTAGGATATAAGGTGTTGTTCAGTATGTTTCCTTGTTTAGATACTGTACGATTTACTCGTTTTTATCTCTACTTTCATATGCAAGGCAAAAACTATCCTTCATCAGTGGGACGAGATGTAATTCGTTGTTTACTTTGCCTTTTAGTTTATATTATACACTCCGCTCCTTGTTATTCTATCTCGTTCTAGTGTTATGGTATTCTTCAAATCAAATAGATGGCACGGCACGTGTGCTGCTACATTTGGAATAGAATGAAGTGAAAGAATAGTCAATTATGTAAAAAAGAAGAAGAATTTGTTTGACTGCTGTGTCTTCTACAGCTATGCTTCCTGGACCAACTATACCCATATTAGGTCAGGTAATGCTTATTTTGCAAAATGTTTAAAACTTTAAATCTGTGATAACATGGCACAATGTTGGAAAAGATGAAATCTCATTCATTGAATAAGTTTTTATTTTTACTATTTTTTGTTTATTGTACTACACTTATATACTGACTTGACATAAGCATTTCAGTGGTGCAAATATATAGCATACTTGTGAAGCATGTTAACTTGGAGTTTTCTCTTTTTGAGTTGCCTTGAGATAAAACTTTCTGCTACACAATTCCTCATTAAGTCTCTATCCTTTTCATCAGGGGTGTTTGTTGAGCATTGAATTCAATGAAATTGTTTTCTGACCTCAAATAGGAGGCCATAATTGACATTCCAACTAAATAGTACCTGTTGACAATTCATTGAGGTCCATCCAAGTCAATGAGAGATTTCACAACTGTCACAGATTCATTATCAGTTACTGAGTTCAGGAAAGTTTCTGTATTAGCAATCCAAAGGATAAATATTTCCCATATTTCTAGTAGTGTTCAAATTAAATGTCCTGTTTAGATTATTATAGGAAAATGGGCTTTAAGCTGGCATACTTCCATTAACTCTCTATCTGTGTGCTTTATATAATCTGCTAGGGTTGACAGTTTATACCTTCTTAAAGTGATATTCTCCTGTCAGGTATCCGTACATTTTATAGCACACTGTTTTCTTTTATTTCGAATTTTGTTTAGAAATAGAAGAAATAGTGAATTAATTACAGTCCGGTCCCGGTAGTTTATCTTAACTACTCCTACAGTTATTGATTGACCAAATTCATTTGTTGCTGTAAAGACGCTTTTGAAGAACAATGTGAGGCTTGTCTCGTGGATTTCCTTGAGAACTTTATCTGATACTTAATTTAGTGTTTTTAGAATCAAACTTTTACCTAGTTATGGTTTATGAAACAAAGCAAATAATGAATCATAGTTTCCTCAAGGTTGCTTTGTTTGGATTGTTACTGCAGACATTTTTGGTATGGCAGCTGGTTTTTTGTATTCTCCTCTTGGGGAGAAGCTAGTCTATGAACAGACTTGCTGGATGCTTTCTAGTAGCTTCTGGCGTGGTATTGGCAGTTGCAAGGTCCTTCTTCTCTTCAAAAGATAAAAAATTGATGCTTTCCATAAAATTATAATAAATTGACTCCATTTGGCATGCCGCAAAATTATCACTAATGGCTCATCTAATGTGAGTGAGATGCCACAAGCCCTTTATGTGTATTCTACTACTTCTCAATTTGTTGAAGAAAAATACAGACTCAATGAATTGTGCAATTTTTCGTATAACTATCTGGCTTAATTCATCAACCCGAATGCTGAATACACACACACACACACAGATATATACATACACACAACTTTCTTACTAGAATGTCTCACCGAATCACATCTAGAGATATTGATAATACACATAACTAATTTATTGAGCAGCACCTCTTAAACCACCTAAAAAGGCATATTTATTATTTGATCCATATCCTGACATAAGAAGTCCAGCAGAAGCAAGACTTAAAACAACGATTGATAAAAACCAATTTAAGATTTGCTAGAATAAGGTGATAATCAAAAGGAATTATGGAATAATATAGTAAAATGGATATGACTGTTATGGATGGTCAAATATTGAATAAACGAGTATCCTCTCTAGATGGAAAACGATTCTTCTTGAAAAATAGTTTTGTGCCATCTGTAAGGGCTTGAAGAATTCCTAAGGGGTCGGCGTATTTATGTCCAATACGTTGTTTTATGCCTGCAAATATTTCTCTTTCTAACCAAACAATTACTAGTAATCTTCTGTTAATCTGCAATTACATTTCCATTTTTCTTATGGATAACTAGAATGAAAGCTTTGGCAATGGAATGTAATTCCTCAAGAAAATGGGTACCCAATGCTTGCTCCTTGTTTGATGCTTACACATTTTGGTATCTGAACACTAAAATTTTTTGTTTGTTTGCTACAGTGGGTCAGATAGTGATCAAATGCTATCTGGAGTTGGGATTTTCTGGCCGGCAATGATGATAGCTTCAAGTGCCTTTCAAGCAGTTGCATCTATTGTCAAGGTACTCTATCAATTGTTGACAGAGTGCTAAAATATTCCTAATAGCAAAATAATATATGAATTCTGTGAACATGTGTAGGAATCTGTTTTACTTGATGCTACACCCCGCCTGAAGGTGAGTGGTAAAATTATATTTTGTCTCTCATTATCTTTTTGAGCTTGCTTATTCACTTCATTTGTTCCATCACGTTCTTGTAAATTTTGCAATTCTTGCAGGGAAAATTGCTGGACATCTTTGTTGTGAATTCCTTTGGATCCAGGTTTCAGGTAATGATCAATTACCTCACAAGAATATTTTTATTTGGCCATGCATGTAAACACATAACTTCGCTGGTGTCTGGCAATATAACAGCGAAGTAACTAGAGTAAATATCATGATCAATTACCGCACAAGAATATTTTTATTTTGCAATGATGGTTTTGGCTGGACTGAATACACGATCTGCTTTAAATGAATTCTTTTTTAGAATAAATGTTATGATAGTTCATCATAGTTGATGCAGCTTGTAGCGAGAAAAACACGGAGAGATCCAAAAACTAGTTGATTATGCAGAAACCCGAGAATTAGGTGATAAAGAATAGTTGATTTTCTAAGAATATCCAATACTGGACAATGTTTAAGTAAGCTCTCACTTTTTTTATTCAATATCAACCAAATAACAGTTAAGGGAGCCGCTATTTTCATCCACCATTCTTATATATCAATCCACTTTTAAAAATTTCTCTATTACATTTTAACGTTATGTAAACTTACTTAAATAGACAGGAATAGAACCAAATAAAATCTATCACTTTTTATTCATCCACTAATATTTTTCCTCATTAAATGCTTTTGAACCTTTTATATTCTTTTAGATTTAGACATTATGTTAACTAAAACCCTAATATTTATAAAATATCTTCAACTAAAGTCAAAACGAACAATGAAAGAAACAATATTAGAACAATACAGACATAGTAATATATGAAGAAGACTTTGAAAAAGTAAGGACTATCTTTTATTTTTGAATTTATGTCAATGGCTGTATTGGACACTATGCTTTAATGTTAGATACATCAACACATCTTTGAAGCCATAGTAAAATTGTGATCAATGCATAATGTTTTCTAAATGCTAAATATTTTTTTGATACTTCTCTTATTTTCAAGGAAAAAGTACACAGTAGAAAGTACGTGTCTTGAAATTTCATGGGTCAAACAAGATGAGTGAGCCAATCATCAATAAAAAATGACTTTGTTTCATATCAACAATTTTTGAATTACGAAATTTAAGTCCTAATTAAGTGGGTCACTAAATTTCATTTATTTTTAATTAACTCATTGCATCCAACTTTTGAACTTCATATTAATGAATACAAATATTAGCATGACTTTAATAGACTGATATAACTTAATTCATTAATTGTGAATGCTTGATTATGGATTTGAACGAAAATACTTGATCAAAACAAAATTATAGAAACGAAATTGAAGTCCAATCATTTGCTTAAAAATTAGTAATAAGTTGAATGAATGAATATATAATGTTTAAATGAATGAATTCTATAAGAGTAATGTTGGAATGTGATGTGGATCAATATAGTACTTTTTTAAAATTTAAAATTTTAATAAGGATGGTGGTTGAAAATAACAGCTTCTCGTGTAATGCCGTTGTCCTATGTTATGTATGAGGTGATTGATCTCTATGGTTCTTCTCTCTGGAGACTAATTATGAGACAGAAAGGTCTTTGAGAGGAAATTCTACTCTGAAAATACGTCACAATCACCCCTAATTCTAGCTTCGTCTAGAAAATGAGACATCCTAACTTAATCTTCTAAATCAATAAAAACTCTAGAAAACTTATCTAAACGAATTAAAGTCCAATAAAATAAAACCCCTAAATTAACATTGAACCTAAAATATCTTTAACAATAAATAAATAACTTAAATTGATCAAGTAAATAATTTCCAATTAAAACGTGCTGGTTTGACTGTTGATTGAATTGGATCAAAGTATCTGATTGCATTAGAGTCTAGTGGAACTGGATGGAAGATTCTTTTTCGAAGGATTCTATATTTTTTTTAAGCCTTTAATTGTAAGCAGCCTTAACTTGGAGAAACAAATTAAAATGTAAAGCATGAAATAATATTTCCCTAATTAGAAAAAACCCAGAATGACCCCTGTTGTCATCTCAAAAAGAGCTTTTTATGAAAAACATAGCACTGCATCGATCCTAAGAGGTGAGGACTCTGACCTTAAAACTATATGAAAGAAGGTAGATCTTGTAAGTACTGCTTCGTGATGCTTGATGCACCCAAACCCGAAGCCTGTCTAGAACAATTTTTTGGTGGGTTTATTTGAGTACTAAGATACTCTAAATTCGATTTATAATAAATGGTAAATAGTTTTATGTCAATTATTAAATTGTTCTATTGACTCGTATACATTGAACCATACTTCTGATTTCAATAATTGACGTGCCTTTCCCCTTGCAGGCTCTTTTTGTGCTCCTCTTTCTTCCATTATTGTCAAATTTGAAAGGCATACCATTAACTGAACTCCCCTCATACTTGAAAAGTGGCGCCGCTTGCTTCTTCAATGTTGGAACCAACACCACAGGTAAAACCTTGTAATCAACCTTTTTCTGACCATCAATGCCTATGTTCTTGTCAGTTGAACTCTGAACAGGAAGAGCTTCTGCAAGCCTACTCTATGCTTTGCGAAAAATTGTTAACCTTGCAATTTTTTTTTATCGTGTTCATTTTATAGTTAGGTAGTTTTTGCACTTAGAGGTTTCATAAAATGATTAATTACTTACATTATGCAGTGAGTTTGGAGTTGATGGGAGAAATTGGAATGCAGCAGAAATTATGATAAATATGTTGAGACTGAGAAATTGACACATAAATGCTTGCTTCCTTAAATTTATGACGGTGAGAAGTTGTTAAAGACCAAAACTGGAAGACCCTTGACAGTTTGCTTATAGAAGTAGAGATAGAAACTACTACCGAACACATTGGCATCAATTGCTGCATTGAAGTTTAACATGTACTTCAGAGTAATGAACAATGTTGCTAAATTGCAACTGTTTCTGTACCTTTTTCAAGTGACAAAAATGATCTCATCATTTTTATTTCGGATTTTACCTTGATATTCTATTAGATAAAATATAGAGACTTGTATTTGAAAAGGCTGTATATCAGCTCTTTCGTTTTTATCATCAGTGCCCTTCCATTTTGGTAACTAATCACTTTGTTCGGTTTTTTCAGGCTGTGATGGAGCCCCAATTCTATCCCTCCTTTACATAATTGTCAATATAGTTTTCAACATATCCGTACTCAATCTTTTAAAATATTCATCTGCTATCGTTTCTTCTCTTGCTGTGATGTCATCAGGTACTCTTCATCATTGGACATTTGTTTAGAGAGAGAGAGATGTACCTTATCATGAAGCCCTTCTAACAACGATTACATTCTCTTGTAGTGCCTATTTCGATTTATATCCTTTCCCTTCCATTGTCATATCTCCCGGAAGGTGCAATCTTGAGCCCCTATTTTGTCTTGGGCAGTGTGATTCTCATGGTTGGGCTCGTCCTTTACAACATATCGTGGCCTCTCAAGCAAGACTAAGATTTTGTAACAAGGACTTCCAGTACTTGAGGTCAATTGGACTCTGCAGTTCATTCTTTATTCTGTCTACGTGCTTTCTTGCGTGGTCTAATGGGTATTTTTGTGATGGGATTATTTGATCGCTGATACCTAACGCATTTTGAAGTTCAATAATGAGACCACAATTTTGTGTATTGCACTATGATTCCCTTACTACAGACTGAATCAATTAACGAATTTTCCCCTGAAGATATCCACTCTTTGAGTTTATAGCTATACTGTTTATTCAGTTTGTATGGTTTATATCATATTCACTATCCAAACTCATTACACCCTATGTGATCTATATAATATTGTAATAAATTTAGCCCTTGTTTGAACCCCATTTTGGTAAGAAAATATATTTTGGAATATTTAGTTTTTGAAGAATGTGGTTAAAAAAGGAAGGTTTACAGTTTACGTGTAAAATTATTTTATGGTAGAATGTGATTGAAAATGAGTTTTGAAAAATGAGGACCAAACATAGGCTTCTCGTTATTGGACTTTGCTTTTGGGTTCGCTTCTCTCATGTGTTCGAGTGGCTACGCTCCTGCAAGTCTTTATCAACCTTGGGCGTATCCAAAAAATTCAGTTTTAGGAAAATAATTTTATTTGGTTATCAAAAAACATAGCATAGGCACATGTTTTGAAACACTAGTTAAAGGCAAAATATAAATTAACTGCATGTTTGGCAAATCTTCAATTACTAAATTGGTCAAACATTAGGAATTACAACTATCCACTTATTAGGAATTACAAGCATCCACTTATGCACACGTTCTATAAACTTGCGACTTAAATTATAATTTAATCACACAAACAAACACAAGACCATCATAAAGTACAGTTGAAATTTGTTCAATTTTTGCTATCCAATTTATTGTCCACCCAATTAATTATTGACACGTTATTTTTTCAAATTTATCCTCATTAATTGCACTATTAATTCATCAAATTGATGACATCATAATTTGAAATGATGTGCCGCTAATTAATTGAGTGGACAACAAGTTGAGCAGTGAATCTCAACGAGCATTAAGTTGGTATGCTAATGGAGAAATAATCGAGGTTGGCAAAATAATTGGAGGTGTCCTAAATTATCGATGGACTTGCTATCAAAATTCATTGTCTTATTTTAAAACACACTTTTTACTTAAAACTATTTCCTACTTTTTAATCACATTCTCTGAAAAATTACTATTGAAAACATTATTTTTCATAATAATGGTCATCAAACAGGGGGCTAAACATTCTCAGGCCACGTAAGCCAATGTTTGCATCAACTAAGTTGAAAAAAGAGGGCAATATCAATCCCTTCTGAATTCAAGTCTCTGGAAGGGGTGGGAAAGCCTTCATTTCAATGCCAAAAAAAGCACGTCTCAAGTCTTCAGTGAATAGACATGGAAACCATGGCGTCCTCTAGTTTTTATAGTAATTTGTATTAGCCTGACCTGAGCTTGACCGTGTCACTCAATGCTTCCTCTGCAAATAGACATAAATTACTTTTAAGTGACTGCTTTCTCAACAGAGAGACATAATTATTAATATTTTCTGCAGGACACCATATAATAAAAAGGATTAATAGATACAATGAAGAGCGCAAATACGATAAGGAGCTTCATTCCTCAACTCAAGGTTAGACTTTCTCACATAAATTACAAAATGAATTAAATTTGTCGAAGCCATAAGTTCCTTGACTCGTGATTAACAAGTCCTGCCCCTTGTACCATTAAGAAATACCATCGTACTTTTATCGTGCTCTTACAAAGAAATGGCCAATCACCACGAGCAGTGTTGTTGGACAGATAGGACTACATTTTTAACAAGTGACAAATTCACTTTCATTTTCCAATCCCTAAAATTATACCAACTCAAAAAACAGAGTATGCCTCCCTAACATTAAAGGGCCAGCCCCATTAGAACTTCTGACTAGCCAGCAGCAAAACTCAACTATTTCAGATTTACATATTATGGAAACCATACACATCACCCATGAAAATTTCTGTTGCTAATTCTTAATAATCTTAGACCATCACATGTTTGATCCCTAACCCAAAAATATATATCAAGTACATATGTAGGATTGTTAGCCAAACAAGAAAGCGTGAATCCCAGTCCTGAGTTATCTCACAGAATAATATGATACAGTGCACGAGAGTCGAGAGATTACTGAATCCTAGGATTTACGGTTGCCATATTGGCCCAGCTGCTTATGGCTCTAGTATGGTGGATCTTGGCTCTAAATCCCAATATCAACAAGGCTATAACTAGAAAGATTAAACTTCAAGGTAGATAAGACGTGTCCCACAATCAAGCTGGGAAATTAAATGACTTCAGTAGTATGTTGCGTGCAAAATCCCTTCACCTGAGATATTTTTATTGAATTCCAAGACATGCAAATTTGGAAACAGATGTACGTTGCCTGTTTGGCTATGCTTAAAAGTTAGTTAAAGAAACTTTTTTAGCCAAACATGTTTTGTCCTTTCTAAAAAGTTACGTTTTCTGATATTTTTAGAGGGAACTTACTTTTTTACAAGTGCAAGTTTTTAATAACTTTCCAAAAAAAGTACTTTTAACTTTTTTATTTCTTAGTGAAGCATGCTGTTAGTTCGCTACAAAGGGAAGCTACAGTTGAAGATAACACAGTACAGGCTTTGAAAAAAACTTTAAATAACTACATAGTTAGAATGTATTAATTTTAGTACATACCTTGCGTTTCTTCAATTTTCTATCTCCACTGCTGCCAACATCGAAGGTGGTCGATTCCTTGTTAAAGTTGTCACCTAATGGTAAACTTTTAATCTCATCATAGAAACTTTCTGTCAGGCCAAGTAACCTGAAATAATGTGTGAAGAGCAGCCATAAGTCAGCTAGCAGGTAGCACAAATGAAAAATAAATATAGCATATTACAAAATAACTCATTCAATATATTTCTTCATGGACAATAAAAAAATAAAATGGCCTATAATGCGCCATTGAGCTTACCCATTTCTAGACTTCTTCAAATGTTTCATTGTCTTTTTCTCTGATTTTGTAAGAGGAGCACGTGTGAAATGTTCCTCCTCTTGTCGAGCACGTTCTTCCATCTTTTCCATATACTTTGTCAGTTCTCTACTTTCAGGTCCTACAGACTCTGTTATCTGTATTTTTTCCATGATCAAGCAAATAATCAGAATTAAGAGATGATCATTTAATACTGTATATCTGACAAATTGCTAAATCTACGAACCTCTTCAGGTCTGCCTTCCAGATCATTCATCAATTCTCTTACATAAGCACTCTGCTTCGCTTGTCGCATATTTTCTCTCTCTTTTCTCAAAGCATTTCTCTCCTCTCTTGACATCTTATCTTCCTCCATAGCAGCAGGGGCCAATTTTGGTGGCCGATACACACCATCACCATCCTGTAAACATGACATTTGAGGAAAAAAATAAAAATTTGCAGTTGATAAAAACTTTCATCAAGTCTTTTTGCATACAGTGAAGGAACAAACTCGAGCAGATAATATGCAAGCAACATTTAAAATTGGAACTTATTATTTCACTCTGATCACAAAATAACTAATCACTATAATCAGTTTCCTTTCCAGCATTGTATTATAACCCCAAAAAAAATCTTTTGCTGTATAACAGACTTGCCTCCGAAGTAGTATTAATTTTGTTAACGAGCAAGTCTGGATTTGGACGATATTTCAATAAGTCCTCAGTCTTCTGATTTGTATCAGCTTCTTTCTCAGTCGAACCTGATTTTTTCTCTGGGTTTGTTGTAACTTTCATTAGCTTTTGAATTTGGTACTGAAGTTTTTTGTCAATAGGGCGAATCTGCATGGGACCAGGTGACAAAAGAATTTTGTTAATAGGGTGAATATGCAACACTAGGTAATGAAAAAAATGAACATCCACCAAAAAATATGGGAAGCAACAATTCTTATCCATCTTCTACTTATTTTTCACTGAGTAAGAAATTGCTATAAGGGAAAGACTGCGCACATGCAGGCAAACTTGGTTACACCAGCCAGGTGTTTCGTTCAGTAATTTTCTTTCCTCTTGTTGAGCTTGGGGGTGCGGGTGTGTGGAGTAATTGTCTGTTTGTCCTATTTCAGGGTGGGGGCAGGGGAGAGGCGGAGGTTGCACAGGGATATACCTTCTCTAAGTATAATCTTATCTCAACAAGGCTCTGTACTACAGGATGTCCTTGAATTGATAACCCTTTTGCCTTGCGAAGTAAATAGTAGACAAGGGACTGACAGTAATTCAGCAGCAGTAGATGTTTGGCTTCAAGATAACTTATTCCATCTGAGGTGTGGAAATTTTCTGCTTTCACCTGCAGACAGAAGACGGAAGATTAAATCCTTGTCACTTGTTGCTTTTAAAATTTAATAAGTACGAATGAGGTCACGATTTCAACCTGAAAGTTTTATTAAAATTAACATTGTGCAATGACACTTAAAGAAGTCGATGATTAAGTAATAAAATGTCAATATTCATGGATTATAGGACTTCAAATCATAAGTTACACGGTCAACTCGATTCAGAATGAAATAAAGAAGAAGGCATCGCCTCCTATATTTCACAGCTGAAAATAAATATTTTTCTTGATGTTTTCTCAAGCCAATTGCAACTATAAGGAGAGGAATAACTCATTTTATTATGCCACTCTTCTACCTAGAAATTAAGCAGTTAACTCCAAGTTTTAGAGCAAATTGAGCAAAATACAAACAGAATGGAAAAGGATTAGAAACTTCCAACCTAGAGGGAAGGGAGAATCGTTTCCTCATAAGTCCATTGAAAAGCCCTCTTTTATACAAAATACAGAATGTAAATATCCTCTAGCTCTTCTCCTCCCCACTCTCCCGCAGGTCCCACTGAAGAAAAGGTAAAGATCCAGGGGGTCCAAGACTAATGAAGAGTGTGACAAAAGGTGACAGCCCTTCCATTGGTCAAAGTGAAATAGAGTGCTAACTTGTGGCGAGCATCTCAAGAATGATTGTTCAATGATGTGAGTTTCAGTCAATCTAATTTCTATATATTCCAAAGCCCAAGCTATCAGTAATTTAGCATCCAGCAAAACGAGCAATACAAACGGCAGGGGAGATAAAAAAGCAGTCTGATCAACAGACAAACAAAAAAAAAAAAAAATGCACATAGCAGCTTTACCATTGCAGTCTGATCCCATATTTTACTGTTGCGAATTTATAAATTCTCACCTTGATTCTAGCACTATTTCCATTCACTAGATCAAGTATGAACTAATTAAATCCATTTTAAAGATAAATGTTCCAAAGCTGAGCTTTATCCAAGAGCATGTTGAGAAAATAGCTTGCATTTTTTACACACAGAAAATTTCATTGGCCTTACGAATAGGTTCTACAGAACATAATACCTTAGCTGTCAAAGCCTGAACTTTAATCCTCACAGTATCCAAGCCTTCCTTCATTTCTTTTAACACAGCAACCAATTGCGGAGATTCTCTGAACAAAAAATATAATTCATGTAAAAAAAAGGAGAAAAAGAATCTGAATTTAACGAATCTAAGACGAATAATAGATATCAGTTTACTTGTTTATCCTTTCACTCTGGACCGATGATTTAGTTGCCTCCATGTCCATGTCTTCCAACTTCTATAAGCTAATCTGGAGAATTTAAGCCCTACATACGATTTAGTTACTATGCGATTTGGCACGTGTTTATAGATCAATATGTTAATAAGTAGATAGAAACTAATGGTACTCATGGGTCGCACGAAATATGTGGGAAAAATGTGATTTGACTTTTAGAAAGTGTTTATAAACATGTTCCCTGGAATCAAGAATCTAAAGAGACTAGAAAGTGTTGTTAAAATTGCAACACGGTATCCAATAAGTTTGAAAAGATTTGGAACCAACAAATTGCACTTGTACAACCCACTATCAAAAAAGAACTAAGAGCATCTCCAAGAAACTTTAAATATATACTTTCTATTTTAGAGAGTCAATGCTTAAAAATGAGCTCCAATAGACTCCATTTTAACTTTTTAAATTAGAGAGTGTGTTTGACTCTCCAAATTTAAAGAGCCAAACCCACTCTCCATTCTTAATGTACAATAATCGCATTTAATACATTATAAATTTCAATACTCTACAATTTAATTTTTTCAAATTATATTTGAATTAATTGGTCATTAGTATATAAAAAAATTATATTCAAATAAAATATGTGGAGAAATTATTAAATGTTCATTGGAAAAAACAAAATAAAGAATCAAAATAGAAAGCTGGTTTGAGTGTACAAAAAAAAATTACTCCCTAAATTTATAAATGCTTCCTATTATGCATAAGATAAGATGCTCTTTATAAATAGAGAGTTTTTGGAGATGCTGTAAGAAGTTAGATGGAGATAGAAGCTAAAGAATATAACTGCGAATGGCATTTATAATATACAGTGTATGCGGCTTGAATTTTGAAAAATCAAAATGATGAACTGAAAACTGAAATTGACACAACCTATAATAAGAAGATTGAAAGGCTGCAAAATTTCTGATACGCCTACGCGCTCAATAACATACAAATTATACAATTAAGTATATTTTTCTTCGTTTAAGCTCTAAACTAGCAAGAAGAATGAATTAGTACCTAATTGGTATTTCAAAACAATCAGCAACTGCAAGTCTGCAATAATGAAGTTTGCTTTCAAGCCTGAAAAACGAACTGGAACAAAATTATGTAAAGAATTTAATAATGATAATAACAATAATTCTTGAGAATAAAAACAAAATTCGTGAAAAAAATGCTACTTTTTTACCAGATTGAGTGTAAACAATATGGAACAACAAATAAGCTAAGGCGGATTTGGGGATAAATTAAGTCTGGTGTTTGACACAGCCACACAGGATAGAGGCTGAGTAATTATCTTCGTTAGGTTTTTACAGTAGTTTGAAAAAGGGAAATTCACAGTTGGATCCCTAAACATTGACTCCAGGTAGCATTTGGGTCCCCATTTATAAGTTTTTGACAACTGAGTCCCCAACACAGAAAAAGGGTGCATTTTGATCCTTGATTTTACTTTCTCAAGTTGATTTTACAACCGACCCAGATTAATGAACCCAACGATAAAACTCATTTTGACAAAGAAATTGGTTCTTCGACTGTCTTGTGGGCCCCATAGACCACATACGCATATCGATTTCGAACACCTACATCCTGGACCTGTCTCGATTGAAGACTCCACTTGAGTTTGAAAACTCTTATCAAGCTCGAGCCTTCATGTTAAAGCTCAAGCATCTTGGATGATCTCGAAGGAATCTCATACCAAGCTCCAGTAATTGTATGCAATCTTCTCTTTTAGAAGAACGTCTGACGAAGCTCAACTCTATAGTGTCTTAAGGGCGATCTCATGTGGATTTTTCATTTAGGATCAAATCTACCACATTTCACAGCTACCAAATTCATGACAAGTGTTCCTCTTTCATTCACTTATCGACGAGCCTATCACGTTCCGCCTCATGTCCTTCCGAAAACTCTCAAATCTTACGAAAAGTGTCCCATCAACATTCGTGGATCTTTCATCATGCATCCAAGGTATTTGCCTAGAGTGGTGCTACATCTACAAAGGAGGATGACAAAGTAGGTTGACAAGTATGAGTTGGCAACATCTTTATTACTCATTTCAAAAACAGTTTTTGAATTCAAAATAGATTAACGGTCTAGATCTTGCCAACATTGATTTTGTCAACAAAATTTGTTAACATACTTTGTATAAGTAGATTAATTGATTTGGCTATATAACCCCCCCCCCCCCCCCCCCCCCCCTAAC